TGTTATAAACTCCAAGGTAGTTGCAAACATAGTGTTCTGGATGAAACAGATCTATTTTGTGACTGGACGATATTTAGGTCCCACATATTATTTCAGTTCAGAGTTTTAACTTCTAGAATGACCACTAAATTCCCAATATCTTGGAATGGCCAGATTTCCAGGGGAGAAATTGGCCTTTTCCCAGAATAATAAAGTCATGCAGTTATCTAACCACCAGTATGCAAATATGTATGTCTCCAATTTATATCCAAAGTTTATGAGATACTAGATGGAGACACATAACCAAAGAATTCAATCAAGCTTTTCTCAAACATCCAGTCAATGAAGTTCAAATTAAAGTAAAAGACCATATTTGTTTCCAGAAAGAGTACACTGTAAGTAGATAGACGCACCAAGAAAATAACAGCTTGCTACTTAATGTAACATATACTCACTGTTAAATGCATCAAGAATACACTATCGTGTTAGATAATGATCACTTTTTTTGCAGATAGCCATCTAAACTAAAATAGTTACTAATCAGAAACAACAGACCAAGTCACAGTGAACAACAAATGCAAGCATCAATTCTACACCTTTATATATGTTGTCAGATAGATCTACAATCCAGTACATCATGATCTGCAGTCCATATCCGGCACACAGGATCTGTTTCATCTATCCACGCCTGCAGAGCTCATATAGGGAAATCTACAGGTAGTTCTCGACTTACGACAATTGTGTCCAAAATTTCTGCACTAAGTAAGACAGTTGTTAAGTGAGGTTTGCCCCATTTTATGACCTTTCTTGTTACAGTTGTTAAGTGAGTCACTGCAGCTCTTAGTGAATCTGGCTTTTTTTGTCAGAAAGTTGCAAAAGGAAATCACATGAGCCTGGGACACTGCAACCGTCATAACTACATGCCAGTTACCAACCATCCGAATTTTAATCACATGATCATGGGGATGCTGCAACGGTCGTAAGCATGAAAAAAGGTCATAAGTCACTTTTTTCAGTGCCATTGTAACTTGGAACAGCCATTAAACAAATAGTTGTAAATCTTTCTATCTGTATCTTTTCAATTGAAAAATATGATTTGTATGCAAGTCAGCAAGTAACAAAAATATATCTTTGTAATACGAAGACTCAGAAGAAGACGAGTAACAGACAAGGCAGTTCATTACAAAAATAAAGTGTTTAAATACTTCATTGATTGTCATGGCCAATATATATTGTCATGGCTTCCACATGTAATGTGGGCTTGGCATGTCCTAGTGATGGCTAGATGACCATCTTTGTATTTTTTCATAGCATTTCTCTGGTGTTGTTAATGCCGTACAACTAATAAAATATTGTAATAAAATTCTTTTCTTTAGAGGGGTAAAAGCAGGGCACAGGTGCAGTTAGAAAAATGTTCAGCAGAGAAGCTAGGAGCACTTAAAAGTTTTTTTATAAGGGGAGATGAAAACCAGTATAACAAGAATTAAACAGGTTCCAGGGACGTTCAGAAGTTAAACATGATGCCAAGATTGTAGCTAGATTGATGAAGGCTAAGCACCATTTTTCGCTACAGTGTCATTCACACACTCCTCTAAATCAGCCTTTCTAATTTTTCTTACCCTAAAAGGATCCTTGAAATAATAGAAGAGGGAGAGGGAGTCAAGCTATTCTCCAAAGCATCTGAAGGCAGGACATGAAGCAACGGATGGAAACTCATCAAGGAGAGAAGCAATCTAGAACTAAGGAGAAATTTCCTGATAGTTAGAACAATTAACCAGTGGAACAACCTGCCTCCAGAAGCGGTGAATGCTCCAACACTGGAAGTTTTTAAGAAGAGACTGGACAGCCATTTGTCTGAAATGGTGTAGGGCAGGGGTCAGCAACCCATGGCTCCGGAGCCACATGCAGCTCATTCATCCCTCTGCTGCGGCTCCCTGTCCTCCATCGCTGTGTGCAGTCCCACAAACAAAATAAGTTTGTGGGACTAAAAAAAAAAGTTCAATTAATCAATTCCAACTTCTCGTGGGAAAAAAAGTGGCAGCGGGGCGCTCCATGCGGGGGGGAAGCAGCAGCGGAGGTGGAGCGCTCCATCAGGGGAGTGGGGGGAAGCAGTGGCGGCGGGGTACTCCATGCGGGGAGGGGGGAAGCAGCAGGGTTTGTGGCTCCCAGTGTTATGATATAAAGATTTAGTTATACCCTAAATCATGATACGCTGTTGAGTTTTGACAAGAGTTCACATTTGTGCACCTCAACATGATCACTGTGGTTAAAAGGACCTGATGCTTTTTAATATGAAACTGATTGATTACAGGTAGTCCTCAATTTACAACCATCCATTTAGTGACTATTTCAAGTTACAATGCCACTGAAAAAAAGCAATTTTTGATCTGTTCTTTCACTTTCAACCATTGCAGGAAGGTCCCGTGTTCAAAATTCAAATGCTTGGCAATGGGCATGTATTTATGTTGGTTGTACTGTCCCGGCACCAGGTTATCACCATTTCCAACCTTCTCAGTTAGTTTCTGACAAGAAAAGTTAATGATTCAACGTACAATTGCAGCAAAAAAAGTTGTAAAATGGGTCATAAATCACTTAATAGTTGCCTTGCTTAGCAACAGTTCAGTTGTGGTCTTAAGCCGAGGATAACCTCTACATAGAGTTCTCGCTTAATAACTGGTCACTTAGTGACTGTTCAAAGTTACAACATTCCCCTAAAAAGATACAACCTGATTTCAAAGTTTCAATGATAGTACACACAAAGGCTGCGCGCACACACACAAATACACATGTCGCTATCACACAATTGCATTTTGGGAGCTTGGCAGCTGGATCACATTTATGACCATGGTTTTTTACTTTTTTTTTTTTTACTTCCAGAGTCTGTTAAAAAAAACAACAGACAAATTGGGGGAAATGGATTTATGTAACAACCACCACGTTTACTTAAAAAAGCACCATAGAAAAGGTTGTAAAAATTGGTTGTGGCCAGATAGTGACCCACTGAGTAACTTCCATGACTAATGATCGTAATTCTTGACTCAATTACAATCCAAAATTGAACACTATGTATATGAGGCAGAGGTCACGGTACAAAAGAATCTGCTAATTTATATTTTTAGAATAAGTAGGTGGCATTTGAGTGCAATGATTTGTTTCAGGAAATTATGTGAACAGGGAAGTCGTCAAACAAAGAGGTCACTTCTGTCCCAGATCATTTGAGTAGATAGTTCAGGCACACCTTTGGTAGGAAATAGTGGGCAACATCCAGTAAACATGAAACAATTTGTTGCAGTTTAGACACGGGTAAGTTTAGTAATTATGTGAAATATCTAAGCCTGAAATGTCCTTAAGTTGATTGCAACCCCCCTTGAACAAAGGAAGAAAATGTCAAGTAACTACATTAAAAGTTAGCCAGCACTCAAACTAGAATGACTTTTTTGCAGCCTTTGGGTGAGGGTAGGAAGACACCGATTCATTCATTCATTCATTCATTTATTCACTCACTCACTCACTCACTCACTCACTCACTCACTCACTCACTCACTCACTCACTCACTCATTTCCAGAAGTCAAAGATCCCAAACATGGAAAATGTGATGTAATGATGGTGTTGGAGAAAATGATGGAGACTTTCGGTTTGACTAAAAATACATAGTAATTAATTGTATGTTAAGTTTACTAGAGAGTTAATGTCAATGCTGCTAACATCAGATGTTTTTGCATTGACAACAGATGGAAATGTAGCCATCTTTTACCTTTTGCTTTTAGAATTAGATGATGCTGGGAGGGGGGATATTTATTTATTTATTTATTTATTTATTTATTTAATTCAATTTATATGCCGCCCTTCTCCCGGCGGGACTCAGGGCGGCGCATAACATATTTAAAACAAAGGCATATATACAATCCCCCCCTGTAAAACCGAATTAAACCAAATTTTAAAGTTGTGTTATTTCATATGAACGAGAGTCCAGCTAGACATAACATCACCAAGCCTAGCATGAGAAACAAGGTTATTGTAACCAGAGCTGATAAGGACTTGACGGCTGGAGAACAGGAGAGGAAGCCCGAGCTTCAAACTAATTGAAGAATGTGATTTATGACTGTTAATTGGAGGAGGCAATTGTGCTTTGATACTATGTGCTCAGGGGAGGGGAATTCAGTTTTTGGCTTCGTTTATACACTGCTGATTCTTTAAGGTAAACAATGCCTCAAAGTTCTTTTGAAGAGTTTCATCTGTCGAAACCATGACAGTTAACACGTCTTACTAGAAAATCCTATACTACTATTTGCATTTTGTCACTACATTTTGACAAACTTGGGGATCTTTGAAAACCATAAAACCAGGAGTTAGTGGCTCAAGCCTGTTTGTCATCTATCTTTTTATTTCTAGGAACTAGTGATAGTTGATCTGTCAACTTCTAATGACTGTTCATAATAAAGCAGGATCAAGTGGAATTAATCTTGGTTAGAGGTCTCCTTCAAGATCTGTTCAATGATATATTCAGAATCCCCAGAGAGCAGAAGAACTGGAAACCACAAGGAAATCAGCAATCTTGGTGACTAAAAAGCCAAAGGTAATGTTAAAGTAAGTAAGCAAGGAATGAGAGAGAGAGAATATCTCACTACCCAAACTAGGTAACATCCTCAGTGCTTGCAGTGCTAGTAATGAAATGCCTGCAAGAAAACAACCAAGCTCAAAGAACACCAAGGACCCCTCATTTCAACCCAGTGCTACAAACATTCTCCTTTATTGATACAGGGAGAACAAGCAGACAAATCATTAGATAATTGCCTCTTTTTAGTCACACCAATATTCTCATTCATTGGACTTTCTCATTAATACCTGAAATATTTCCTTGTTCTGACTAATATATTGTAGTTTGACGTTTCCTAAGAGAGCTGCACAATACCTCAGTTGAGGAAATTGTTTACCATGGCATATGTTCAATGAGGTTGGGCTTGCCCGAGGACTTAATTTATAGCGTAGTCATAAAAAGTGACCCACCTTTTACTTGTTACGTTCTGGTTCTCTGAGTATCATGCCCCATTCAGTAATAATCTCCAGGAAGTAAAGATGGTTGTGAAACACCTGCCTAACAACGTCCTGGCAGAACAACTGAACTAAGCCTCCTGAACAGGAAGAAGAACAGAAGACCCAGCAGAATGCTGGATAATTATTGGTAGATCTGGTATCACAGTCCCAGTGAGTTTCAGTGGGACACACTCAGCTTTATTCGGAACATATACAGGTGCATCAGCAAGCAACTTCTTTGCTGAACAGTAATTTATTTGCAGAATAAAAGCTTTGCCATATCTGAACGGTGAACTGAAGGAGATTTGAGAAATGCTACAGTTGTCAGCTTTTCAGCCAGTTGGTGTTACTCTGCCTACAGCTTGAAACTGCCACAGGTGAGAACATATATCTGTTTTGTATGTATTTACCTGTTGTCTTCTGTAAGTTGCTGTTAGAATGCAAAGTCAAGTGTTGCTAAATAGATTTGAGTAGGGCAAGTAGAAATGCCCTGATTGGGGATCTTTAATTGTTGCAAATTGGTAATGCCTGCCAGTCAAGAAATACAAAGATCTTTCCAAAAAATTAAAACATAAAGAGAGAAAAACAACAAAATTAAGAGAATGCGCAGTTTTAGTAGCACAGAATACTAAACAAAAAGCTAAAAAGTGGCTGTTGGCATTGCCCCAAAACCTCTTGTGATAAGAACTAAACAAATCTGTTTTTAACTGAAGTGTATGCATGACTGTACATTCATGAGTGCAATGCATCCTTCTGTCCCTCCCCAAGAAACAGGGACAGATCAATTCTTTACAATTCATTTTTAAAAGAATAAATATTTTCCTAACTCAGTCACTTATTTAAGGTTCCTGGAAAGCTGATACACATCAGTCATCGTCTTTGTTTCTTCATAATTGTATTCCTTGGTTGAATTTAGACAGAACAGGATCTGTTCCCTGTGGCTTTAATTCCATATTCAGCCCTTAGGTTGATATCACAGGAACTTCAGCATAATGCCAAATCTCCAGGCTATAAATCATTTCCAAACATTTGGCATATGAATCTAACTCTTTACTGCAGCATGTCTTAGAGAGAAATGGAGTTCAGAAAGAGAAGAAAGGAGGCGTCAGGCACAGAACAGGGAAGTGTACGCATATCTCCATCCAAATTTGACTCCAGGTTGTTGTATAATATGCTTCAATCAGAATAGAGCTTGGAGGTCTTCCAGTCCAACCCCCTGCTCAAGCAGGAAACCCTACACAATTTCAGACAAGTGGCTGTCAAGTCTCTTCTTAAAAAATTCCAATGACGAAACTCCCACAACTTCTGAAGGCAAGCTGCTTCACTAGTTAATTGTTCTCACTGTTAGGAAGTTTCTCCTTAATTCCAGGTTGCTTCTCTCCTTGATTAGTTTTCATCCATTGTTTCTTGTCCTGTGCTTTGGTGCTTTGGAAAGTAAGTTGACCTCATCTTCTTTGTGGCAGCATCTCAAATACTGGAATACTGCTATCATGTCATCCATGGTCATTCTTTTCTTTACATTAGCCATATCCAGGTCCTGCAACCGTTCTTCATATGTTTTAGTCTCCAGGCCTTTAATCATCTTAGTTGCTCTTCTGTGCACTTTTTCCAGAGTCTCAACATCTTTTTTGTAATGTGGTAAGGAAAACGTGGTGCAATATTCCAGGTGTGGTTTTACTAAGCTTCATCCCTGCTCATTCTGTAATCCAGGTGGATCCAGTGAATTCTGGAATTCTACTTTGATCTGCAAGCTGAAATGAGCAAAACCTTATATTGTCAGGTTTGCCCAAAAATTGCGATGACATATTGGGGGGCCTCTGCCTGGAATCCAGTTATAGATACTGTTATTTTCACTATAACTTTAGACAAAGTCATGGCCGAATAACCATTCCCATATGGCATCCTGCCAATGTGTTTCAGTTATAAATCCCAGTATTTTTCCTAGTTGGGAATTTTAGATATAGTGCTCTCATTGCATCTGGATGTCCTATGCTTCAATTATTTCACACAGTGCCAAGATTTCCTGTTATGTTGATATTAAAACACCAATATTTCATCATTGGAGCTGCGGTCAAGAATTAACACGTATTTACTTTGACTAGGATTGGTATCAGTTATCACACTGGGAATGGAATGGTCTTCGCTATCCTGCCATTCTTGTGGTGGTCCAGCAGCTTTTTTAAAGCCTGTCCTCTGAAATGAAAGCCAGTTATAATATTCTGGACATGATCTGGCCCTAAAACCAGCCTGTTTTGTCTGGGGCACCACAGACTACAGAAGATTCCCTTTTGCGAAATGTTCTGATTACCCTTGCAATGGCCACATCTGAAGGTCCAGAGGAGAATCGGAATATTCTTGAGTTCTCTGAAACTTTCATGTCCTAGTAGGGCCATTTTTGCTGATCTCCTCACTTAGTCCACCAGGTTTTCCTCACATTTAACAGTAAAATATCATTTTATCCGATTTATTTATCAGATTTTAGCCCGGTTTGCCTTTCAGCCTTGTGGTGAAGTGAGATCATGTTTTCCCATCTTGCCATTAACGATGTCTGTTTGGGTGAATGTCTGCATTTCAGCCTTGCATTTGTATTAATGTAAAATTCGGTGGGTTTAGCCTTGAACAGCACAGTTATTATTATTCATTATTCTTTCTTGTATTTTTAATTATCTAATGATCAAAGTTCTCTGGGCAGATTGTAAAGTGACTTAAAGCATTAAGAATTTCTAAAAATGTTTCTAAAAGAAAAACATCAAAGCAGTTCAATGCAATTAAAGGAGTGCAGTGCAATTAAATAATGATAGAAAACATGGTATCCACTGTCACAATGCAGAGTAGGAACTTAAAATCTAATTCTCTATAAAGCTATAGAGATGCCTGAGAGGAGAGAAATTGTTTTCCCAATGGCTCCCCCAAATTAAAATTAAAATGCATGCCCCCCCGCCTCTCTCTGAAAAGAGTATTCCAAAAATGAACCATCACTACTCTCTCACAGCCAGAAACCTTACTTCAATTGACAGGGGCACTAAGAATAGGGCATCTAGTAACTTCCTTGGTAAGTAGATAAGCACTTAGCAATAGCACTTAGATTTACATACCATTTCATAGTACTTTACAGCACTCTCTGAGCAGTTTACAGAGAGCAGGCAACAGAATTTCATTTTTAATGTGTGCCCATGTGCCACAGCAAAAAATGACAATAAAGGTTATATTATCTCTTATCTCTTA